GAAGGCGTAACCTGGAAGCCCTTGGGTTTCAGCCTTGGCCAGATGGTTGGTGTCTCTCCAATGTCCATTTCTGGCTTGGCTTGTCCAAGTGGTGGCTTGTAGCAGGAGGAGAGGGATGGGCAGAGGGCTGCACAGAGGGTGCCCTACACCTTTTCTGGGGGCAGCATCCTCAACAAAGTGTCTTTCAGGAAAGCTTAAATCCCCCGAGGTGGTCGAAGTGCCAAGACCTGATTGGAGCTGCTCAGGGCAAATTACCTTTGGCATGGCTCTGTGTTGCTTTTATGGACTTCACTGTCCCTATACTGCAGGTGGTCACCAGGCAGTGCCTGAGGTTGACTCTCACAAAGACTGGGAGCAGCCTCAAAGCCCCAAGAGGATGTTTTGCAGACATGTGGGTCCTGCTCTTGATCCCTCATTCCCAGAACAGGGTGATCTGAGGGCGAGAGGATCACTTTGAGGGATCCCAGGGGAGGCACAGTTGTGTGAGGATGTCCTTGCAGATGACAGCCCCTGGGGCCATGGCCTCCAAGGCCATGAGCAACAGCCTGCTAGCTGGTGGATTCCTGCCAGCTTCCACGTGGACACCTTCTCTGGCAGGTGATTTCCCAGAGTGGTGGCTCTGTGTTGCACACATGCCAGGGCCCTGAAAGCTCACCAATATGGACGGAACAGGCCACATGTTGACAGGACAGGCTCCAGGCCTCAAGTCCAGACTTGAGACTCCTCTGGCCTGGCTGGCCTTGGACCCCAATGTGGCTGCAGCTCTTTTCTTCCCTCCATGTCCTATATGCAGCAGTGCCTTCCCCCTCCAGACACCTCCCAGTCACTCTCAGATCAGACCGCAGTCTTCCCACCACAGCAAGTGAGCCATCCTTCCACGTGTCTTCTCTAGACAGAATGAAAGCCCAGTCTGTCCAAAGGACACCTTGGCCAGCCACATTTCAGACATTCTAACCCTCTCGGTTCAGGGAGAGAGACAGACACTTCCACTCTGTCTACCGAAGCTACAGGTAGATGTGTCAATAGATCGAAATGGAAGAATGATACACTAGGGCAAGGGAGATGTGGAGGCCTTCTAGCACAACCTATATCTATGGAGAGATAAACATGATCCACCATGGGTCTGGATGCATGGAGACATGGAGATACAGATATATCTGTGCATATATGAATGTGGATAAAGATAGAGATCTATTTGGATAGAAGCAACAAGATAGGAATTCTCTGGTTCCTTCCCCCTTGAAACACAGATGTATTGGACATGGAGGGGGTGGGGCCTCAAATGACCAAATTCACAATCTCTCCTCTCCAAGAGCATGTGGCAAATAGGTAGGGGCTGAATAAAACCCCAAAGAAAAACACGTGCCAAATCCCATCTTATTCTTCCAAATTTTTGACCCACGATCCTTTCTGGAAGTTCAGTGCCCGTACTCTGAGTTGCATAAGGATGATGCTCTGACAGTGTGGATATCTGTGTGTGTCCAGTAGTGACAGGAAGTGAGATAAAATGGGAGAGATAGACACAGAGAGACAGAGGTCTGAAGAAATAGAGACAAGGAGATGTGGCAGAGGCAAAGAGCAGGGAAGGGAGGTAGATTCATTGCCAGCATAGTAGGATGAGCCTTAGGTATGAATTTGGCCACTGCTGAGAACAGTGGGGTCAAATACAATGTGCATGGACTGTCTGCCACTTGGCTTCAACCTACATCCCTTGGAGGAATGCTTGATCATCAGGCACCGTCAACCAGGCGAAGCTTGATGACCGCCAGGAAGTGTTAGTGCTGCCCCATGAGGTTGTCTGTGCCCAAAGCTGTGAACTAGACTTGGGCATACCAATGGATTCCACAGCCAGTCCCAGGACCAGAAAGCATCTCACATCTCTGAAGATTTGCAGGCATGAGAGGACAGGAGGGAAATGGAACAAATCACAACCAAGAGATCACATTGGGGAGGCAAAAACAGATTTATTGGACCAATGGATTGTCCCCTCAAGCTTGAGATTCCAGTATGGATTTCCTCCAAGTTAGCCCTTGCAGCGGAGAGAGGTGACCCTGCTGACAGACGGCCACCGAGAGGCTGACTGGGAACATCTTCTTTCTTCCTGAGAAGTGAAGTCACACTCTGGGTAGAGAGGCATCCTGATACATACTAACAAAAGAGAAAACAAATGCTAAGGTTCAGGAATGAGCCACAGTGATACCCTTTCTGAATTGCCTGCTGAGAGTGGCTGTGGCCCTTCGTGCTGTCATTTTGTGTTCCTTGGAAAGGCTTCCCCGGGGCAAAGATGCCAGGCAAAGGCCCCAGGGCATTCCAGACTTTGGCTGGGACAGGATCACTCAGAGATGGGAGACTGCAGTCGTTTCCTGTTTTGCTGGCTCCCAACCTATCCCAGCCAGGATGGATTTGTGACCCTGGGCTCTCATGGTCAAGATGTGTAGCGTCCTGTCTTGGTCTACACATTCAGCTCCTGGAGATGGGACTTTCTGACTGGGCAGGAGGAAAAGGCATGTGGAGGTGTCCTTTGAACTCTCCTCCTTTCTTGGTTTGGCTGCCAGGCCCCGGGTTTCCCAGGCCACAGAGGAAAGGGTGATGGCAAGGAGGAGGTCACATGTGTGTCCTGACAGTGATTTGGGTCAATTAGGTGTCGGGGAGGGTGCCCATTGCCCAGTGCCCACGGTGCATTCAGAGGCTTTGCGGAGCTTGGTGTTCATTGGGAAGGCAATGGAGGCCTGCGCACAGGGCAGAAAGGATATCCTTCTGTCTTTCCAAGCCATGGATGCTGCTTTGGGCATCGGTCTTCCTTCAGCACATGCACAAAGCTGCCTGTTTCTCCTCCTTGCTGACCCGCTAGGACTGCATCTCAGGAAAGGAGATCTGAATGAATGTGGGGTGGGGAGGACGAGGCCTCCCTGCGACTAGGCCTGAGGCCATGTGGAGACATGCAGCATGGCCAGTAGGGCCTGAAACTCCTCCTCACTGAGGGGTGTTTCCAGGGGTCCCTGGAAACACCAGAGCATCCTCTTGCGGCGAACACCCACTCAGAAAAGGGTGTGTGTCTTCTTCCATTTCTGTGGCTGTGAAAAGTTCCTCTAAAAAACTTGAGGCTTCTGCAGATGGTTGGTGCTGTGGGTTGAGCGCAGCAGACAACCATGCAGTAGGATGTGCCTGCTGCTGCCATCCAAGGGTCTCAGCATGTGCAGGCTGCTGAACTGCCCCATCCTGAGCCTGTCCTATGCTGATGACAAGCTGAGACCACTCGCCCCAGCACTGTGTAGCACGGTTTCTCCCGGAGTGCCCTGCTTCCTTCAACCCTTGGCAAGGATAGTCAACTAGAGGCTGGGGGTAGTCTTGGAAGGGCAGGGGTGCCATGCCAGTGTGCTCATGTTGCTGCTGGTGTTCCCCTTGGGACGGGGGGGAAGGAGAGCATGTCGAATGAAGAGACACCCTCCGAGAGTCGGTCCGGTCAAGGAATAGCTCCTCAGGCCTTTAGCATCAGGAAAGTTGTCTCCTCCTTGCCCACCTTGGGTGGGCAGGACAATCATGGCCCCCAGGGCCTGGCTCCCAGGGTCCCCAGAGAAAACGGGAGGGGTAAAGCCAATGCAGGTAATGGGAGTTGTCCCTGCTGGAAGGCCCTGCATGCTTCCCAGAGTATTGGACAGAGCCAGTTGAAGAGAGCACACAGGGCCACCGGCCAGGAGACCTAGTTCCACTGGGACTGTCACATGAGGACTGGGTTTGAGGTGTGCTTCCATGTCCTTCACGGGGCCACTTCTGCTCTGCCCTGGGTGCCGAGCTCTTCTGTTCTGGAACCAGACCTGGGACAGAGAAGAGATGTCGTGGACATGAGAAGAAGGGATAGATGGCAGCTCTCTTTCCCCCCTATGCCCACGTGGGATCTTTCACGGAGAAGGCCAGGACTTTTGGTCTGGATCTCAGGGGAGCTCTCTTCATAACTTTCACCTGCCCCTTGGACCCAGGTGAACACCCAGGGAAACTGTGGACACCTGGCCTGGAGTCCATCCCCCCTTGATAGGCTTGAATGGCAGGCACTCAGCTCTGCTCTGCCTGCTGTGAACAGTAGTGTCCCTACCTTGCCTTCCCTTTGATTGCCAATTGCAGCTTTCTGACCAGCCATTTCAGGAGCCCTGGGATAAAGACATAGCCGACCACTTGCCCCTCCTTCCCGAGGCTACTCCAAGTCCTCCGGAATGCCTCAGCGTATCTCTTAACACCTTTCCCTGCTCTGGTGTCTGATGGGGTGTAACACCAATGGCAAGCCACCAACTCTGACTTGCAGGCCTTCAACCCATGCCTCCTGGCCTCGCATCCACATGATAGGTAAGTTTAAAAGCACATCTCCTATGGGTGTAGAGGAAGGCATGGGCAGCCAAGAATCCACATCAACAACACTCACATTCAGATTTGGCTCTCCCTCTCCTCCATTTGCTACATGGGAAGAAGAGTTTTCAGGAACGAGCATGTTGAGCTTGCCCTGTGTCCAGGGACACGACTTCTCAGAGTACAGGCCCATGAAGGCCCTCATGGAGCAGGGTCACTGGCTCTTGTCCCAAAGGAGAGGCTTCTAGAGAGTCAGCCTCCATATACCATAAGGGCATTTCACAACTCCTATTCCAGGAACCACTCTCTGCAGAGCTTTCTCAACCAGGGCACATGGGACCTCTCACCCACCTGCCAATAATCCTTGGGACAATTATCCTGGATGATTAGGTTATCCAGAGAAGATGTGGTTTGTGGGTAGAATCCATTTCTGCCCTGGGGTCCTGAGGCCCAGGACACTGACAAACATGTTGACGCACACAGGACAGCAACCCCACTCACACTCAGGAAATCCTGAGGGCCACATGGAAAGTGCTACTAAGCTGCTCAAGAGCTGACAGTTTTATGTGATCTCTAGATAGGTGCCAATATTTCCGTTTCCCCTCTTTTGTGTGCTCACCATTTCTACACGCATGTACGCTGCCAACTCCCCACCCCCCCGCCACACACACACCATTTGGTTTGGAAATTCTTCCTTGGGCAGTCTCTCACTTGCAAGTTCAAGGTTTTCCCCCCATTGCCTGGCCATTGGATCCTGTGGATAACTCCAAGGAGCCCACGATTCCCCAGCAATGTCTCAGGCACCACTATCCCTTCCACGTTGAATGACTCATGTGCCACACTCTGAAAATATACCTGAATGCTGGATTCTGGAAGACCTGTGAGGCTGGCCAGGTGTTCCCTGGTAGCAATGCTTGGAAAGCGGTTCTTCTCAAAGGCTTGAAGGAGGATACTGGTTTGGGATTGAGAAATGGATGTCCGTTTTCTCCTGCCATCCTTTGTGAAATGTTCTAAAAAGGGAATAGAGTTAGAAAGGAGGGCTTTGAAGCCACTGGCACATCCAGTGTAGAAAGAGAAATTGGTGTCTGTCTGCATGCATGAGTGTGTGTGTGTGTCTGTGTGCGTGTGTGTGTGTGTGTGTGTTCTCACATGCTTCTCCATTTTCTCAGTGGCCTCTCCGTCCCTGAGTCCACTGAGGTCACCATGGACCCACGCACACAAGCCAGTGCTTGGATCTAAAGTCTGAGGGGACCCCAGAAGAGGACTCTGTCCTTCCTACATTTTCAGGACAAGAAAATTCAAAGCCTTTCTTGCCCAGAAACAATGCACCCACCCAACAGGTGGTGCATGCACAGTGTCCATCTCTGGGAACAGAAAGGTGGCTGGAACCAGTGGTCATGGGTTCCTCTGCTAAGCCTTCTTGCCAAACACATGGCAAGCCCATGCATACCCGTTCCTGTGTCAAGGAGAAGCTCAAGAAGAGACCCGTTTTGTATGAAGGGGAGTCATCTTGAGTACAAGATGGAGGCTGTTCCTGTCCATGTGTTGGCCCTTGCCCTTGGGATTTGGCAGACCCCAGTAGGCTCTGCCTTAGCTGTCTTGTGCGCTGCTTCTGGAACCACACCTAAATGGCAAAAGAAGGACCGATGGTCAGGCAACACTGGTGGACATGATCTATATATATATGCTTTTTTTTCCTCATACCTAAGGTCTCAGAGTGTTTTGTGTGGACCATGGGATAACTCAGGGAAATTGATAGCTAGGGAAAGTCGGCGAACATGTGTTGACCTGTTGGAATGTCCCAGGCCTGGCGCTCCAATAGTACCTGGGCTCCAAGAGTGAATGATTTAGAATGACTTCAAAGGGCATGGGCCTAACAGAGATGCACATACAGGGGCCAAAGCTTCTGAGCTTCCCAGCTGAGCATGTAGATTGACATGCAGTGGCTTGGGCCTGATTGTGTCCATGACTTATCGCCCAGGGAAAATGCAAGTGAAGTTGAAACCTACCTGGATCCTGGATTCTGGAATGTCTATCTCTCGGGCCAGTCATTCTCTGGTGGCAATGTCTGGGTATGTGATCTGCTGGAACAATGCGTGCAGAGCCCCTTGCTGCGTCAGCTTCAAAACAAGCCTCCTCCTTTGGAACACAGGCAGCAACCTCTTCGACCTCAGCCACAGCAACTTCTTCCTAGAAACATCGCCAAAGGCAAGGGAAGCCAGGGCAAAAATGAACTATTGGGATTTCATCAAGATAAAAAGCTTTTGCACAGCAAAAGAAACAGTCCACAAAACCAAAAGACAACCGACAGAATGGGAGAAAATATTTTCAAACGACATATCAGATAAAGGGCTAGTATCCAAAATCTATAAAGAACTTATCAAACTCAACACCCAAAGAACAAATAATCCAGTCAAGAAATGGGCAGAAGACATGAACAGATATTTTTCCAAAGAAGACATCCAAGTGGCCAACAGACGCATGAAAAAGTACTCAACATCGCTCGGCATTAGGGAAATCCAAATAAAAACCTCCATGAGATACCACCTCACTCCAGTCAGAATGGCTAAAATTAACAAGTCAGGAAACGAGGGATGTTGGCGGGGATGCGGAGAAAGGGGAACCCTCCTACACTTTTGTTGGGATTGCAAGCTGGTGCAACCACTCTGGAAAACAGTGTGGAGGTTCCTCAAACAGTTGAAAATAGAGCTACCATACGATCCAGCAATTGCAGTACTGGGTATTTACCACAAAGATACAAATGTAGGGATCCGAAGGGGTACGTGCACCCCAATGTTTAGAGCAGCAATGTCCACAATAGCCAAACTGTGGAAAGAGCCAAGATGTCCATGGACAGATGAATGGATAAAGAAGAGGTGGTATATATACACAATGGAATATTATGCAGCCATCAAAAGGAATGAGATCTTGCCATTTGCAACGACGTGGATGGAACTGGAGGGTGTTATGCTGAGTGAAATAAGTCAGTCAGAGAAAGACATGTATCATATGACCTCACTGATATGAGGAATTCTTAATCTCAGGAAACAAACTGAGGGTTGCTGGAGTGGTGGGGGGTGGGTTGGATGGGGTGGCTGGGTGATAGACATTGGGGAGGGTATGTGCTATGGTGAGCGCTGTGAATTGTGCAAGACTGTTGAATCACAGATCTGTACTTCTGAAACAAATAATGCAATATATGTTAAGAAAAAAAAGAAGAAGGAGGAGAGGATAGCAGAAGGGGAAGATTGAAGGGGAGTAAGTCGGAGGGGGAGACGAACCATTAGAGACGATGGACTCTGAAAAACAAACTGAGGGTTCTAGAGGGGAGGGGGTTAGGGGGATGGGTTATCCTGGTGATTCTGCGTGGAGCACTGGGTGTTATGCACAAACAATGAATCATGGAACACTACATCAAAAACTAATGATGTAATGTATGGTGATTAACATAAAAATAAAAAAAAATAAAAAAAAAACAAGCCTCCTCCATTGGGATCCGCATGGGAGGGAGCGTGTTGCTGGGAAATTGACAACCATAATAGGAAGGGTTTCATAGGAATGCAAACCGGTGGTTCAGTCTCAGCTCTTCACTTTCTGCCCTGTGTACACCTTCCAAGGCCGGGGCTTCCTGTGCCTTTGCCATTCATGGATCCAACTAAGGGGCTGCTCGATAGGACAGGCAGTCCACCATCTGCCTATGGGAATGAGTGATAGGCACGGATCTAGGGAAATACCAACTGCTATCAAACCATGTGATGGCATGCCAATGAACTGAGGAGCCCTGCGGTGGGGATGAAGAGGTGAAAGCACCTAAGGAGAAACAAAGAGGAACCCACTGCTCCTAAAACCCACCAAGGTGAACTCCAACAAAATGTCTTAAGTGCTACTCAATAAGGTGAAAGTTCTCTTTTTGTAAATGACACCTGAAATAGGTGCTGAATATTTTCCTGTTCTCTGCCACCTGAGATTTAGCTTGCGTATTTGCAAAAGAGGGAGTCTTGTTGGGAATCCCAGCCACCAACTGCAGTTTTCATTCTGACGGCAGCCATAAGCAAGCCTCACTCTATCCATTTCCCCCAATCCTCCCTGGATCACAATCCCTCCAGCATTTATGCTGGCAATCGATCTCGTCTCTTCTACTTTCCTGAACCCTGTAAAATTATCAGGGCCTTTGGAAAATTCAACCAGGGAGCAGGAAATTGGATGGAAACTTACTCCTTGATGTGCTGGTGGGAGCCATGCCGATGGAGTCACTTGGATTCCAGAGCACTGGCCGGCCAACTGGGCAGGACCCAGATCATGGGACTTATCTATGCCTGGGATGGCCCACCCCTTGATGTCCCACCCCCATCATTTCGACAGCTTCCTGTGGTAGCCCTGCCTTTAGTGGTTTAGACTTTTGGCGGAAAAGGTCTTCAGGAGGACATCGGGACCACCTGAGCCAAGTACTTGCCCTGAGCAGGTGGACATTCCCCCCGCTTCTCTGGATGCAATGTGCCTTTCCCCATCCCACTAGATTTTCTCCGAGATTACGGCCTTGACATCGAATCGTGGTGTTGAGATTCTGGGACTCTGTGTAGGACCGGACTGGGTGAAGGCACTTCGATAATCGCTTCAGATTCTGGAATGTGTGTGTGGAACTCCAACCACCTTTGGCCACCCAAGACGAGCCTCCTAATGAAGTTCCCTTGTCTTGCATTACATTGTTTCTATCTTTTGTTTGTTTGTTTACATTTATTTTTTATGTATGGGAACTTTCATCATTTTTCATTTGAATGTTTTTGTTTTTCCCCTTCATTTTTATATTTATTTTTTTGGTATTACATTTTTATATTCATTTTGTAAGTGCCCTGGTATTTTCAACCTTCGCCCCACCAATCAGGACTGTTTAGGCACATAGCTTGGTGTCTAGATTCCCTCCACATCTGGGGAACCCAATTCGGATGACATCATGGCAGCTCCGAGGCATCTTGTGAAGCTATGGGTGTGGAGCCAGGCAGGACACTGAAATCAGTCAGCTTAGATGGGAGGCACGTGAGAGGGAAATGGTGGACTTGGCCAACGCCATGTATGTGGGGTGGTTTTGTCCACACTATTATTTGCTTGTGGGTTTGCACATGAGTGTGTGTGGCAAACAAGCTCTTCTGACTCGGAGGCTTTGAACTCTTTCCTCCTGTCCTCACATCCAGCTGGTTCCTCTACTGGCATATCTTTTATGGGTCATGGCGACAGCTTTGCAACTAGAAATTCCTAATCAACAATACCAGCATTTGGATTTGACTCTCTCTCCTTTTGTGGCCGGAAGGAAAGTTTAACTCTCATTGGCAACTTCTATTTCCTCTCTTTAAGTTTGTAAGAGTTGTCAGTGGGGGTGGGGAGGGGGAGAGCAAGATGGGGGAGGAGTAGGAGACCTGGATTTCGTCTGGTCCCAGGAATTCAGCTGGATAAGGATCAGACCATTCTGAACATCTACAAACTCAACAGGAGATCAAAGAAAAGAATAGCAACAACTCTCTGATCAGAAAAGCGACCACTTTCTGGAAGGTAGGAGGTTGTGGAGATTCCACATCGAGTTAGGTGCCAGAGAAAGAAACGCTCGGTCACAAGCCGGGTGAGCACAGAGTGCAGCCAGAGACCAGGGAGGCGGGAGAGAATACTGCTTTTCTCTGGGGGAGCACTGAGGAGCAGGGCTCCCAAGTTCTCGGCTCCTCCGGGGCAGAGATTAGGCGGCCGCCATTTTCACTCTCGTCCTCCAAAGCTGTACAGAGAGCCTGCAGGGAACAAAAGCTCCTGAGAGCAAAGAGGAGGAGATTATTCACCTTGGACCGGCAAGGGCAGGGCAAGTCCGCGTCCGGCAAAGACATTTGGGAACCACGGCAACAGGCCCCTCCCCTTGAAGATCACCAAGAACAGCCAGCCAAGACCAAGTTTACTGATCAATGAGAACATCAGAACTCCAGCGCTAGGGGAATACTGCACATAGAATTCATGGCTTTTTTACCATGATTCTTTAGTCTTTCAAAGTTAAGTCTTTCTAACTGTCT